CCTAATGTTCTGTGATTCTGTGATACTGTGAACTGGGAATGAACTGTCTTAATGTTTCCCAACGTTAACTTTCCCCATCACAGTCTCTGCTTACCCTGGGCTGCAAAAGAGGGGTTCTCCTTCCCCTTTACTCTCTCCTGGTCAGACCACAGCTGCAATCTTGTGTCCAGTTCTGGGCCCTCAGGTCAAGAAGGACAGGAACTGCTTGAAAGAGTCCAGCAGGGCCACAGAGATGAGGTGCGGATCCGGCAGCCATGGTGACACAGTGGCCTTGCCATATTTCCTTCCCATACAAGCACTATCACTTGGAGAAGTGAACACTGTGGAGCATCTCCTGCTGAGGAGCGGCTGAGGGAGCTGGGGCTCTTGAGCTTGGAGCAGAGGAGACTGAGGGGTGGCCTCATTCATGGGGATCAATTTGGAAAGGGCCAGTGTCAGGAGGAAGGAGCCAGGCTCTGCTCTGGGATGTCCACTGCCAGGACAAGGGGCAATGGTCTCAAGCTGGAGCACAGGAGGTTCAAGCTGAAGACGAGGCCAAAGTTTGTGAGTGTGAGGGTGGCAGAGCATGGCCCAGGCTGCCCAGAGAGGTTGTGGAGTCTCCTTGTCTGGAGACACCCAAAGCCCTGGCCGCGTTCCTGTGTGACTGCTCTGGTGATCCTGCTCTGGCAGGGGTTGCACTGGGGGAGCTTTCCAGGTCCCTTCCAACTCCTAATGTTCTATGATTCTGTGATGGGAGAACAGCATGCCCTTCTCAGGCCAGCAGCCCGCTCCTCCCCTGCACGCCCACCCCGTCAGCAGCATCAGATTCCCACCAAGCACTGACCGCTGTCTTGGAGAAGCAGCTCCCCTTGAGCGCACCTTCCCACGCCTCCGTCTCTCTGTGGTGTGCCTTCACCTGCCAAAACCAGCGTGCCGCAAACTGCCAGAGGTGCCTCACGCTGTTAGCTAAACATTCACCGATACCTGCTGGCATCGCTCAGTGATACCATCGCTATCAGTCCCTGTGCTGCTGCTGTTTCACCTTGCACATTTCTTATCGAAACACCCGGTATCAAAGCAGGCCCAGGATCAAACCTCCACGATTTCCAACTCCCTGACAACCCTACCGTTGATTTGCTAAGCCAAGGTCAGCCTGAACTTCCCAGACACACGACATTTCGGTATCCTTTTCCAAGTACCAGGCAAACTGCTACAGTGATTCATAGCTGCATGCTGAGGAAAACAGAATCTTAAATAAATTGGCCTCCCATGAGCCCTGTTGTTTTTTATTTTTCTAGCTGCATTGCTTAAAACCTGAAAGCAGTCAGCTAGGATTTGCATGGTTGGATTTAGCGATTCAGCCAAGGCCAGCGCTTCCCCAGCTCTCCTCTCTGTGTATCCGAGTGTGTCTTCTTGCTGCTAAAACAAACCACATGAGCATTGCCCAGAAATTATCTGCTCCTGGGGCTGCAGCACAGGGAGTGAGGCCAGAGCCCCATTGACTTTGATGAGAGACCTCTGAGGATGAGCACCTAATTAGTCTCAAAATCCTTCCTCCATCAGCTGAAGCAAACCCATTTTGGGAGGCTCCCAAATCCATCCTTCCCCCATATCCTCCTGTTTCCCTACCCCTCCAAGGACCCTCAGCAGCCCAGCAAAAACCCTCTGCTGAGGATGAGCCCCTCAAGCCAACACAGAACCATGGGTCCCATGGGGATACCAGCCAGCCTGAATCTGTGGGTCCCATGGGGACACCCACCAACCCAGAGCTGTGAGTCCCATGGAGACAGCAGCCAGCCTGGAGCCATAGCTCCCAAGGGGACACCAGCCAGCCCAGAGCCATGGCTCCCATGGGGACAGGAACCAGCCCAGAGCCCTGGATCTCAGAGAAGGAGCAGGTACCTGCAGCATGAGGACCCTGAGGCAGCTGCCACAAGGTGGCACTGGTACCTTGTCACCCAGCCTGGTGGTGTCCAGCCCGAAGCCCAAAGGTGGGGGCACACAGGGCATCCCCTCAACCATGCTGCAGGCTCTGGTCCAAATTGAACTGCAGGTTTGGACGGGAGGAGCTGCCGATGGATCAGGAATCGGGTAAATAACGATCACCGCAGGAGCTATGTCTTGCAAGAGGGTTTTTCCCCTTAGGGTCTTCAGGCTTAGGGAAAAAGCAGCATTTTGTTTACAATTTTTATGCCATGCCACTCCGTAACAGGGTTGTTCTGGGGGTCATCAGATCCATCCCAACCACCCCTTCTCCCAGGAGGGCCGGTGGCCATCAAGAGAGGCAAAAAGGCCACATCACCACGAGGTTTTGGGGTACCACGCTCCCCATTCAGTGCCCGGCCCAGCATGGGGGACTCCGTGGCTCATCCCGACGGCGGAGCTGGTATTAGAGGAGGACAAACACTGCGGCAGTGGACAAAACCCGAGCACGGTGTGTGCTAGCACAAAGCAGCCCAGCAGAGGGTTGCTGTCCTCACCTGGCCCGATTCCCCCGATTTATTTGCAGATAAAGAGTTTATTTTCCTTTCCCAGCACTGCAACCGCAAGACAAACACGGGCAAAGCCTCTTGAGCTACTTCCCGCTCGGGACAGGTGCCGGAGGACGTTGGTGGCATTTGCCCCCACGTCCCTGGAAAAGCCCCGCTGGCACCACGTGTTTGGCTCAGCAATCACAGCCCCAAAGCGGGCAGCCCAAAACCTCCTCCTTTGTGTTTCGTCCCCAAGCTGAGGGCGTGGGAAATCAGGAATCGGTCACCGTCCCGGTGTCACCAGTGCCAAGGTTTCCAGCCCTACCCCAAACACGTTCACATCCAGCGTGATTTTTTTCGGATTAGGGTTTGGCGTCACTGTTTGGGGTCAGGCACCGCGGCCGCACTTAACTTTCGAATGCAGGCGGAAAGGCCCCTGTGGGCCAGCTCATCTGGCTGCAATTAAAGACGTTCATTATGTCATTATTAACAGGTTAAGACGTGCGAAATACTGGGTCACCGGTGCTGCCCCACAGCCTGTTTTGAAGGACAAGGACATTTACTGTCCTGGACACCGGCCACTCTGCAGGCAAGTCCCAAACCCGGCCAGTTTAATAGCGAAGCCGAAGCCAAGGAGCCCCAGCAGGACCCAATAACGTCCTCTTCCCATCTGCCGCTGCACCCTCGCCTCATGGAAAACACCTTTGAGACCTGCGGTACAAAAGGCCAAAGCTACAGCAGACAGCAGGAAGGAAACAGGAAAAATTTCGGCATCACCATCCGGAGCTTGGAGAGACCTTTTTGGGACACGCGGATGCCTCTGGCCACGCTCAGGCCATGTGTGTGCCCACAGCTTGAGAGAAAGCAACTCGTGTCCTGGGACAGGGACTGCAATGTCACCGAGGAGTTGTCCTGGACACCCCTTCGGCAGCACCCAGGGAGCAGATTTAGCCCTTAGCAGGGCACTGCCATGGAGAAGAGCCCCATGGATCACCCCCCCACACCAACTTTGCTCGGAGAAGAAGCAAATGCAACCCCATTGAAAACCACCACCTCCTTTAATTCCCTGCCAGAAAAGCAGGGCCCAGCCCAGCTCCAAAATTACAGGGTTTTAGCACCAGAGAAGCCCGCTAGCCCGTGTCACGAAGCTGCTGGGAGCCCATGGAGCAAAACGCTGGCCAATCCTAGCAGGGAAATGGTGAATTTTCCTCCTTGAAGATCCCTGCCAGCCTCACGGTGGGAAAGGAGCTGCCTCTGCCATCCCCATCCCCCTGGGGCTCAGCCGAGGTGGGGTTGAGGGACTGGGACCTGTCCGTGGGTCGCACCCAGCCAGCTCAAGACAAGAGCCATGACTTGGCCAGGACGTCCCCACGCTGCTCACACCAGTGCTGAGCACCTCCACAAGGACATTCCCAGCAGCTTTGGGGACAAACCAGCTGGCAGCAGGGCGCCTAGCAGTGAGGTGACCCCAAAGCCACCGTCTCCAGGGGGACAAATCGTTGGGGCTGGGCTTAGATCATGGAGACCCTGTTCTTGATGTAGACGTGGTACGGATCGCTGCGCTTGTCCACTTTTCGGGAGCGGGTATAGCCCAAGATGAGGCTCCCCACCCTGGCGGCGCAGGGG